TACTGCTTTTACTGCAACCCATAAGTTTTTTTGTTTGTTTTTCCTGAGGCATTTCCTAATTTCCCTTTTTGTTTCTACTTTGGCTCAATAATCAAAAAAGTGACAAAAAAGTGAATGGTATTGTGATTAAAAACCAAGACCAACAGCAGGAACACTTTCCAGAGTTGGTACCTGTGGGAGTGTGTTATTTAAGTTTCACATAGTTGTGAATTTTCCTTTTGTTATTGATTTCTAGTTCCATTTCATTGTAGCCAGAAAAGCTATTAATATGTGGACTGATTTCAATTTTCTTAAATTTGTTAAGTGTTGATTTGTAACCTAGCATATGATACATCTTGGAGAATGTTCCATGTCTGAGAAGAAAGTGCATTCTATTGCTGTTGGATGGAATGTTTTGTACGTGTCTGTTTGGTACATTTGGGCTATAGTGTTGTTCAAGTCTCTTGTTTCCTTACTGATTATCTGTTCAGGTGATTGATTTTTTATTGAAAGTGATATTTGAAGTCTCCTCCTATTATTGTATTACTTTTATTTCCCCCTTCATGTTCTGTCAATGTTTGCTTTATATATTTAGGCACTGTGATGTTTGCTGCAAGTATACATATAATTGTAATATATTCTTTGGAATCTACCATTTTGTCATTATGTAATGACTTTTTTGTCTCTTGTGACAATTTTTGAATTAAAGTCTATTTTGTCTGATATAAGTTTAGCCACCCTGCTCTCTTGGTTACCATTTTCATGGCATGTATTTTTTCATCCCTTCACTTTCAGCTTCAATCTAAAGCATGTGTCTTGTAGACAGGATATAGTTGGATCATATTTTCTTTTTTTGAGACAGGATCTTGCTCTGTCATCTGGGCTAGAGTGCAGGGGTATCATCATAGCTCACTGCAACCTCAAACTCCTGGGCTCAAGCAATCCTCCTGGCTCAGCCTCCCAAGTATCTGGGACTACAGGTGCATGCTACCACACCTGGGTAAATTTTCTATTTTTTTGTAGAGATGGGCTCTTGCTCTTGCTCAGGCTGGTCTTGAACTCCTGGCCTTAAGCAATCCTCCTGCCTTGGCCTCCTGAAGTGCTAGGATTATAGGCATGAACCACTGCACCCAGCCTGGATCATATGTTTTTAAAATCCATTCAGACATTCTATATATTTTGAACAGTGGGTTTAATCTGTTTACATTTGAAGTAATTATTGACAGATAAGTGCTTATTATTGTCAAATTGTTAATTGGTGTTCTCTTTTTTGTCATTCTTTAGTTCCTCTCTTCTTCTCTTGCTATATGCCTTTGTGACTTAATAATTTTTTTATAGTGATATACTTTGATTCTTTTTTTTTTATTTTTTTGATTCCTCTATAGGCTTTTTCCCTGTGGTTACCATGAGGTTTTCTGATAGTTATAATAGTATGTTTTAAGCTGATAACAACTTAACTTTATTCACATAGAAAGACTCTACATTTAACTCCATACCTCCATACTTTATTTTATTGATGTCGGAATTTACATATTTTATATTTATTAACAAATTGTTTTGGTTATTATTATTCTTCATACTTTTGTCCTTTAATTTTTATACTAGGGTTAAAAGTCATTTATGCACCATCATTACAGTATTACAGTATTCTGTATTTGTCTATGTATTTACATTTACCTGTGAGATTTATACTTTCATATGCTTTGGTGTTGCTATTTAGAATCCTTTCTTTTCAACTTGAAGAACTGCATTTAGCACTTCTTGTAATATATGTCTAGTAGTGATGAACTCATTTTTTGTTTGTTTGGAAAGTACATATCCTTAATTTTTAAAGGACAGTTTTTCTGGGTATAGAATTCTTTTTTGGCAATTTTTTTTTCTTTCAGTATTGAATATATCATCCCATTCTTTTCTGGCTTGCAAAGTTTCTGCTAAGAAATCTACTGATAGATTCACAGAGCTTCCCTTGCATGTGATGAGTCACTTTTCTCTCTCTGCTTCAAAATTCTTTCTTTGTATTAGATATTTGACAATTAGTTAAAATATGTCTTGGTGTAGCCTTCCTCATCCTTAAGCTATTTGGGGTTCTTTGGGTTTCTTGAGTTGGGATGTCTATTTCCCACTCTAGATTTGGGGAATTTTAGCCATCACTTTAAAAATTCTTTCTCTTTATGTTTTGTGCATCTACTATAAATTTTTGCTTTGTGGTTACCATGATGCTTACATAAAATATCTTAAAACAGGCCATTTCATTTCAAGATAATAACAACTTAACTTTGATTGTATACAACAACTCTACACTTTTACTCCCCCCCATTTTAAATTTATTTTTAATTTGTTTAGAGACAGGGCCTGACTCTGTTGCTCAGGCTGACTTGCAGTGGTGCACTCATAGCTCATGCAGCCTCAAATTCCTGGGCTCAAGCAGTCCTCCCACCTCAGCCTCCCAAGTAGGTGTGACTAAAGATGTGTGTCACCATGCTTGGCTAATTTTTCTTTTTTTTAAATGTAGAGGTGGGGTCTTGCTTTGTTGCCCAGGCTGGTCTCAAACGTATGGCCTCAAGTGATCGTCTCACCTTGACCTCCACATTATGTTTTCAATGTCAAAATTTACACCATTTTGCAACTTGTGTCCTTTGTTAATTTATTTTAGCTATAATTTTTAATAGTGATGTCCTTTAACCATTATACTAGAGTTAAAATTGGTTTACACACCACTGTTATATTCCTAGAGTATTCTGAATATAACTGTTACTTATACTATTGAAATTTGTATTTCTGTATTTTTTTTTTCTTTTTTGAGATAGAGTCTGACTCTGTCACCCTGGGTAGAGTGCAGAGGCATCATTGTAGCTCACAGCAACCTTAAACTCCTGGGCTCAAGAGATACTCCTGCCTCAGCCTCCCAAGTAGCTGGGACTACAGGTGCACACCATGATGGCAGGCTAATTTTTCTATTTTTAGTAGAGACGGGGTCTCGCTCTTGCTCAGGCTGGTCTCAAATTCCTGAGATCAAGCCATCCTCCTGTCTTGACCTCCCAGGGTGCTAGGATTACAGGCATGAGCCATAGAGCCCAGCCTCTGTATGTTTTATGCTATTAATCAGTGGTCTTTTCTTCAGCTTAAAGAAGTTTCTTTATTAATTTCTGTAAGTTAGGCCTAGTGGTTAGGAACTCCTTTAAGTTTTGTTTGGGAAAGTTTTTATTTCTCCTCCATTCCGAAGGACAGTTTTGTTGGGTAACATATTCTCAGTTGGTAGTTTTAATTCTTTAGCACTTTGAATGTATCATCCCACTCTCTCCTGGCATGCAAGATTTCTGCTGAGAAATATGCTGATAGCTGTATTTGAACTCCCTTGATCATGATATGTTTGTTATCACTTACCACTTTCAGAGTTTTTTCTTTGTCTTTGATGTTTGATAGTTTTATTATTGTGTGTTTTGGTGAACTTTGTCTTTTGGTTGATTTTGATTGAAGATCTCTGAGCTTTTATTCTGGCATCTTTTCCAAGATTTGGAAAGTTTTCAACCATTTTTTCTTTAAATACACTTCTGTCTCTTTTTCTCTTCCTTCTCCTTCAGAAACTCCTAATATGTAATGGTTAGGTATCTCGATGATGTCCCATCATTCCTGTAGATTTTCTTCATGCTTTTTCCTTCTCCAGATAATTTCAAATGTTTTGTCTTTGAGCTCACTGATTCTTTCTTCTGCTTGATCAAGCCTGCTGTTAAAGCTTTCTATGGCACTTCTCAGGCAGTCATTGTGTTCTTCATCTATAGGATTTCTATTTCTTTGCCAATCTCGTTTTTTTGTGTATTATCTCCTAAATTTTATTTAATTTTGTATCTGAGTATTGTTGTAGTTCACTGAACTCCTTTAAGAGGACTATCATGAATTTATTGGCAGTCATTTCATAGATCTCCATTTTTTAGGGTCCATTGTTGGATAGTTATTTGTCTTTTGGAGGTGTCGTGATTCCCTAATTCTTCATAATCCTTATGTTGGTGTCTGCACATTTGAGGAGGCAGCTAGCCACCTCTTTCAGTCTCCACTGGTATTCTTTAGCAATATAAATCCAGCAATCAAGCACAGCTTCTGGCTGGGCACTGCTATTGCCTCAGATTGGCCTGGGACACATGGTGTATTCCCTGGCCAGGTAGGACCACTGTTTGAGTTCTGCAACTGTGTCAAGCTGAAGGTTGGTTGGGTTCCATAGGTAGTGGAGTCGCTGCTTGAGATGATTAGGACCAACTTCTATGCTCAGAAGAGATGCATGCTTGAGGCTTTCCTCCCTGCCAGTGAAGTGCCTTGGGTGGACTTTGAGGCTATACCTTCTATACATTGGATATTTGCTAGATAAGATGAGAGACACCACTAGGTTATAATTGGGTCTATATGGGTAAGGCTGAGAACATGGTCCTGTGGTCAGGCACATTGAAGAATTTGGTCCTGCAAAATTCTTGGATTAGTGTTAGTGTGACCTTATTTATTGCCAACACTGTGAGATCTAGGAGGCATTGGATTACACATATATGTCTTTTTATCACCACAGAAATATACACTCATTCTGAACTTGAACAAAATCCTAATCACTGCTGTGTAGCCCATAGGATATTACCTTGCATATGGTGAAGGATATTCCAAGTCTCCACTTCAATGCCCCCTTTCCAAATTACCCTAATTTCAACCTCTGAAATGGTCTTCCTAGGAGTCTTCCCAGAGCCCCATGCATGTCCTTGTTCCTCAGGCTGTAGATGAAAGGGTTCATCATGGGGGTCACCACAGCATACATCACTGTGGCTACTGAATCCTTCATGGAGTAGGTGTGGAGTGGCTTCAGGTAAACCATGCAAAGTGTTCCATAGAAGAGGGAGACCACAGCTAAATGGGAAGCACATGTGGAGAAGGCTTTGTACTTGTTAGAGGCTGAGGGTATTTGAAGGATGGCTCTGACAATCCAGACATAGGACAAGATCGTGAATCCAAAGGGAATGAGAAAGATAACACAGCCTGTGGCAATCAGCACAGTGTGATTAATCTGCGTGTTGGAACATGCGAGCCGTAGCAGTACATACATCTCACAGAATATGTAGTGGATTTTCCGTGACCCACAGAAGGTCACTCTGGTCATGAGGAGGGTGTGGATGAGGCCATAGAAGATAGATAGGACCCAACACAAGATGAGGAGCAAGATACAGAGCTTAGGGCTCATGGCTGCGATATAGTGGAGAGGGTGGCAGATGGCCACATAGCGGTCATATGCCATCACGGCCAGGATGAGGTTGTCCAGGGCCACCAGGGAGACCAGGAAGTAGAGCTGCGTCAGACACCCTGTGTAGGAGATAGCTTTGTTCTGGGACTGAAGGTTCACCAGCATCTTGGGGATTGTGTTGGTGATGAAGAAGAGGTCAGTGAAGGAGAGGTTGGCCAGGAAGAAGTACATGGGAGTGTGCAGGCGGGAGTCAGAGCTGATGGCCAGGACGATGAGCACATTTCCCACCACAGTGACCAGGTACATGGACAGGAACATCCAAAACAGGATTCGCTGCTGCTCAGGTCTCTCCGAGATCCCCAGGAGAAGGAACTCTGAGTCCTCACTTTGGTTGCCTCCATCCATTTCCCCCAACTTTCTGCAACCAAAAAATATTTACCGAGTGCCCTTAGTTGAATAAGGACATGAAGATAAACAAAACCAACAGTTTTCTTAGAATTTAAAATATTTTACATCCAATTTTGTATTTTTTTTTACATAAGCAACAAAGTAAAAAACAGAACATGGATAGGGTTTATGCCACTTAATCATTTCAGCAACTTATAATTTGGCATACTCAGTGTTATAGCAATAATGAGTAAGTGTTATTTTAAATCCTGCCATCTTACAATACTCTTCAAGTGTTTAATGATTATTTTATGATATTATATAGGTTTTCTATATACAGATAGATGCATTATAAGAAATGGATATAGTATAATTCAAAAATAAAAGGGAGAAAATAAAAATATTTGAAAAGAGTAGGAAAATTATTATTTATAGATGTAATGAATTATTGGGGAAAAATAGGACTACCAATTGAAAGACTATTAGAAATAAAGAGATATTTCAGGAAACTTGAAATCAAGACTGAGCTCTGCCATTTCCTAGCTGTGGAACCTCAGTTACAGTACCAGAGTTCTTTAAGACTCAGTTTCTTCTTGTGAAAAATGGGTCTTGGGGTGTTGGGCAAAATTAAGTAATAAAGTGATTAACACAGGAGCTGGGAGGCAGTGAGCACTCAACAAATGTTGCCTATCATTATCATATGTAACAATAATCAGGAAAAATAAGGTTAAACTATATAATGCAAATCAATGCCATCCACATTATTAACAAATAAATCATCACATTAAGATGTTAGCAAGAATCAGCAAGACCTTCAGATTCTCCAGGGAGAATATGTAAATTGCATTAAGTGTCACTATGTGGAGATAGAGTACAGCTATTCACATTTTAATGGTTTTAAATTTGAGATGTGAACGAAGCCAGTTCTGGGAAGCTCTGATCAAAGAGCATCACAGAAAGAGAGCTGCGTGTGCAGTGGCCCTGGGGTGGGAAAGGTCTTGTTGTATTAAAGGAACTAAATATGGGCAAGTAACTGAAAATCGTTGGAGTGAAGAGGAGAGTGGTGAGACACGGGACTGTGAGATAACAGGGGACGAGGACGTGCAGAGCCTTGTTAAGGTTTAAAATTTTATTCTGAGTGCAACAAAGAGCCTTAAAGGCTATTTACTAATAGCAGAAGAGGGTGTATATATATTTTGCCTTGGTGGTAGAATCGGCCCTAAAATAGGTAGTTCTTAATCTCTTCCCAGAGGAACTGACTTCATTTGCAACAGAGTATTGAGAAATTCAAGCCTAAAGGTGCTCTCAAGAACAGTGGAAGTTGTGGTGAAAGATTGTTGGGAGGAGATTCATGATTTAGTGATGATGAAGTTCAGACTGCAGGGAAGCTAACATGCAGAACAGAATCAGCAGGTCTATTGGGGTCAGAAAAATAGCAATCACGTTTTTTGAAACGGCACCTTCAAAGGTGTCAGATTTTATTAGATTAGTATGTTTTGCAATTTATGCCCCAGAGAATTGTTGAGACAATAGAGTTATCAGCTGGCAGTTAGTGGAGTTTAACAGCTGAGCATGGTCAGGGAGAGATAGCAAGGGAGCCTTTCCAATACCACGGTCAGTTCTGGGTGACTATGGGCACTAAACAAATAAATAAGTAAATAACAATAACAAGCTCCATAAGGGGAGACTGGTACCCTGTATTACTACAAATAAAGTTTCTAAAATGTTCAGATTCCAACAAAAATTATGAGGCATGAAAAGAAACAGGAAGGTATGATCCACATGCCAGGAAAATAATCAGGCAACAGAAATTGCCTGTGAGAACAATGTGATGTCAGGCTTAACTGAAAAAGACCTGGAAGTAGTCATTAGGCTGAGTGTGGTGGCTCACACGTGGAATCCCAGCACTTTGGAGACTGAGGCAGGAGGATTGCTTGAGGCCAGGAGTTGGAGACCAGCCTGGGCAACAGAATGAGACTACATCTCTACAAAAAATTTAAAAATGTTAGCCAGGTATGGTGATGTGCATCTGTAGTTCTAGCTACTCGGGAGGCTGAGGCAGGAGGATGGCTTGAGCCCAGGAGTTGGAGGTTACAATGAGCTATGATGATGCCACTGCACTCCAGCCTGGGCAACAGGGTGAGACTCTGTCTCAAAAAAAAAAGAATAAAAACAACAAACAAAACTTCACAAAACTAAGAACTAAAGGAAAGCATGATTAAAGAAATAAAGGAAGGTATAATGAGAAAGTCATGTCAAATAGGGAACATCATAGGGAATATCAATAAAAAGAAAGGATAAAAAAAGACCAAAATGAACATTCTGGTGTGTATTTTATATACGTATGAACATATACATATAGAGTGCTATATATACATATACAGTGACATGTATATATATATATAGCATTTAGTCCACAACAGAACTATTTGTTTCTGTTATTCCATTTCATAGAGGAGGCAACTGAAGGTTAGAAGGTTAACGTGTTAACGTGTTTCTCAAATATGCTCAACTAGTGACTAATGGCGTTGGGCTTCCCCCCCGCTATTCTGCCCCCAAATTTTACAATCTAACTATTTGGACATGCATTAAATGAGAGTCACAATGCCTACCTCACCTGGAGTTAGGAGAAAGAACTGAAATGCTGTACGTGGAAGTAGTTGTCCAAACTTAAAGCCTGTTTGTAAATGGGAGAAGCTGTTATGAGGATGGTAAAGGGAGTACTGTTCTTAACTACTTCCTCAAATTTCTATTTCCCACCCCTTCCAGTAGGAAACCCTGCTCTCAGTACAGAGAGGAACAGGGCCCCCAGTCTTGCCTGTATCCTAGGCCTGGTTCTGCTCCGCACTCAGACAGGAGCAGCCTCAGCCAACCCTGTGTCCACAGGGCATGGCCCAGGGTGTTGAGGTGGTGACTCATTTGTGCCTGGCCATTTGGTGCGACTCTACCAAATGAGAAGATGGAGGGACATATTATTATGAGCTTCCCATACAAAGGGATATGGATAGCCCAGGTGAGGAACTAGAGAATAAAGGAGAGACAGAAATGTGAGCCAGGCTGGCACCCAGAAGACTTAAGCACAGTGCCAGCGAAGGGATCTGGGGAGGAAGTGAATCCCCATCACAGAAGGGATTCAAACAGGCTTCATGTTGTTGTGGGCTGAGTGATCATTTCAGAGCCAATTCAAGGATTTAGTGGAAGTAAGTGATGGCTAAACTCTCTTTATAAATAAAGTTCCAAATTACAGAGTGATGATGTGGTGGTCCTCCGGTATTTGAATGAAAACTAGAATAACCCTTAGGATATGCCCTAGAGACTGTATGCACAGCTTCTCACATCTGTTATCCATTACCCACATAGTCCTCCTATGGTTCAACACCATGAATGAACTCATTTCACAGTGCTTATGTGCAGCTTTAAGCATAAGGATCTGCACAAAGTCACAGTGTGATCTGACGGCAGAGACAAACCCATGACCAGAGTGCCAGGCAGTGTGTTTGCTTTGTGTTAGCCTGCCACTGAGAAGAAGGAGAAAACCTGGAAACTTGGGACTAGTGAAAGGGCTGCTGCCTTGCCAACAAAGGATTGACAAAGAAAGAACTGACGGCTTTTCCCTGAAATCACTCCAAACCCCCAAAGTGACGTGAGCATGAAAAAGAGCACCATGGTGACTCCCTGCAGTGACTGCAACCCTGAGCACACTCGGCCACCTCTCTGCCATGGGGAGAAAGGTCTTCCACCTGCTTAGACCCCATCAGAAACTTCTTCCCTCCACTGTCTGGTCCATGAGTTTCAGGGCTCTCTGAGACATCTGCTTGACAGGAGGGAGGATAGGGGACAGGTGACAAGACTGGGGAAAGCCGGAGGACCCCCAGAGGAATTGATACCTCTTTTTTTCTGACTCACACGGAAAGCACCCCCACCATGCTCTAATGCGCATGAGGATCACCTGTGATGCTTTAAAACGAAAAACAGACTTTCTGACCACCTTGCTTGTAGTACTGGTCCTGTTCTGAGAACCAAGTCCTTTTCAGCAAGCACGCAGTGATTCTGATCCTACACTTTGGGAAGCCCTGCTCTGAGTCTGTAAGAGCGAGCGACTTCTGAACACATGTGTGGTCAGATGGTCTTAGAGACACAAACATCTCTATTGTGTTCCTCAGCTGTTAGGGGAGAGATTGTGGGGGCAGTATGACAAAGGGCTCCAAACTCATAGTAGGAAGAGTGGGCTTTGGTACCACCTTTGTTGTTCCCTAGCTGTATGGTTTTGAGCAGGGCACACAACCCCCCTGAGCCGCCTCGCCTCGCCTGTATAGCCATTCTTGCAGATTGTGAGAATTACATGCTTTGGTGCATGTGAAAGTACTTTGCAAACTGTACAGTGCTTGCAAGATTCAAGGCATTACTATATTGCCTTTAAATATGAAGAGGTTAGAATATGAGTCCCCAAAGTATGTATGTTTGTGTGAGAGAGAAAATGGAAAAGAAAGGAGAGAAAAGAGAGAGAGACACACACACACACACACACACAGAGAGCATGAGCCTGAGATGTCCAAATCTTACCTCCTGCTCCGTGCTGCTCTCAGAGTTCACTGGTTCTGCTGCCTCCACTTTCCTCCATATAGGAATGAAAAGTCAGTCAGGACATAAAAGACTCTAATGATTTGTTTTTTGAATAGGACTTGGAGCCTTGTCCTATTGGCTAAGGGTGGGGAGTAGGGGACTTGTTGCCTGGATCTTAGTCCCTGCAAAAGAGGAGACAGAATAAGGCTGTTTATGCCCTGATGAGGCTGGGGGATTTGAAAGCTGGTGCTTGGATCCCAGATTCATCAAGGATAGGGTTGAACAGGGACCACATCAGGCCTATTTATCAGTTTTGGAGAGGCCTTGGGGAGGCCATCCCAAGATAGCCCTTGAAATGAACATGGATAATTGCTCCAATGTTAATATCTAGAGGTGAGGGTCTTGGGAAATGAGTCTTGTTTACTGCATATTGCAATCTGTCTTTGGCTCATCAG